AACTTATTTCAGACCTCAATAAATACAGAGTTGGACTCTGCTGTCTTCAGGAGACTAAAATCTCCGAAGGCTACGATGGAAATATTGACAACTACCGTCTACTGTGTCTCTCGTCGTCGTGTCGACATTATGGACTCGGATTCGTGGTGGAAAAGCAGTTACTGCACCGAATATATAGATATTGGCAGGTGTCGGACCGTATCGCCGTGCTACAGTTATGGCTCTCCGGGAGAACGCTGTGCTCATTTGTAAATGTCTACGCCCCGACGTCAACACGCGTTGCAGCAGACCATTCATGCCTAGACGAGTTCTACAACAGCTTGCTGGAAACAATTCAAAAACTAAGGTCTTCATCGCTGCTGTTCCTGATGGGAGACTTCAACGCAAAACTTGGGAAACGACCACCCAGTGACTGCCACTCCGTATCCTATGCTGGTTCACACTCAAGGGGCCATCGCAACTACAGCGGCCAGACTTTGGCTGATTTCGCGTCCAGCAATTACCTATTTGCCTGTAACACGGCGTTTCAGCACCGTGCAGAACATATCACCACATGGACAGGCTGGCGCCACAACCCTAGTGGAGGTCCACCTTTACCCATTTACAACCAAATAGATTATATCCTTTGCCGTCACAGTGAAAGGTTTGTGGTGACGGATGCCAGATCATACGCCGGGACAAGCTTAGAAAGCGATCACCGTCTTGTGCTGGCAAACCTCAACCTGACTAAGTTGTACAAGAAGCTCAAGAGGCCGCCAGTAGCCATATCCAGCAACGCAAAATTCAATATATCCGAATTTAGTGACCCGACCAAGAAAGCAAAGTACAGAGAGGCTATCAACGAACATCTACAGGACCTCGGCAGAGAGCAGGAAGGTGTCAATGCGGAGCAACATCTGCAGTATATTGTGAACGCTATGAGTGAGGCAGCAAACACATCGGTGGGCCGCGTCCCTAAAACAAACAAGACGCATAGAAATGGCTTCAGCGGGGAAATTGAAAAGCTAGCAGCAGAGAAACGCAAACTGCGTCTCGACATTACGGTGTGCAGAGATGGAACGAAGGTAAAAGAAATGAAGACGCGACGCAACAGGCTGGCACACCAAATTCGCCGGGAATGCCTCAAGTTAGCATCGACTCGACTGGACGAACGTGTAGCTGAAATAGACCAAATGAAAGACGACGCGAAAATGTTCAAAGCAACACGACTACTGCGCCGACAGCAGCAGTCACCAGTTGTGGTTGAAGACTCTGATGGCAAACTCATTGCACAACCTAGTGAATCAGTCGAAGCATTAAGGCAACACTTCCGTGCTATATTCTGTGATCCTGCTCTGGAGTCATCTAGGCTCTTACGGACAGAGGAAGACCTTAAAAACCCTATAAAGCAGCCAGAGGTACATGCCGCAGCTAAGCGCTTGAATAATGGCCGAGCTTCGGGACCAGATGGGATACCTGCTGAACTTATCAAATATGGAACACCAGCACTGTTCTCGAACATTGCCACTACATTCAACAATTATGCCAAAGACAAATCACTCAAGCTAGGCGATGGGCTACTGATCCCGATACCAAAGCCGGGAAAGAAAAGAGGTCCTCCTGGAAATGTAAGGCCAGTTACCCTGTTGAACACCCTACGTAAACTTCTTTCATTGGTCATCCTGACGCGGATCAAGCCAGCTATCAACGGGTACTTGTCACTGAACCAGAGCGGGTTCCGGTCAGGGAGAAGTACTGGAGACGTGGTATATAGCTATCGGTGGTTATCAGCAAGATGCCAGCGTGTTGCGTCGGAGATCTCAATCTTAGGCATTGATATGTCAAAGGCATTTGACACTATATCAAGGGTCAGGCTGATCGATATACTGTCAACAGTCATTGATCATGATGAGCTGCACATCATCCAGTGCCTTCTGACAGACACCACAATAAAAGTAAAGCTGAATAACATTCTCAGCCAACCATTAGTCACACACAATGGAACCCCACAAGGTGATTCTCTATCGCCAGTCCTGTTTACTGTCTACCTCGAGGCTGCATTGAGGTTGATTCGAGAGCGACTCTCACCGCGACCAGCATTGGATATTCAGCTTCAATTGCCCAATGAAACAGCGTATGCGGATGACGTAGACTTCATCAGCACCAGCCTACAATATTTGCATGACAATCAACCCATACTATCATCCTCGTTAGCGGAATACAATCTAAAAATGAATGAAGCCAAAACCGAATATACTACAATTAAAAGAGAAAAGGACAGAGTAGACGAGCGATGGCGGAACACGGTCAAACTAGGATCGATGCTTGGAGTGGAGGAAGATATCAGTCGGAGAAAACGTCTAGCAACATGCGCCTTACATCAGCTGTGGGTGATATGGCTAAGAGGTAACCATGCCCGTGAACCCCTTCGGATTAGGTTATACGGCAGCTTTATTCTCCCAATACTTCTTTATAACTGCGGCACATGGAGCCTGACAGAGACTCAAGAAAAGAAACTTGACTCGTTCCACCGCCAGCAGTTACGAGCAGTCATAGGGGTCAAATATCCCCGTATAATACGCAATGAAGCACTGTACAAGCGCACTGGCTCCAAGCCACTCAGCAGAATCATCCAGTCTGCTAGGTGGAGAATGTTTGGCCACATGCTTCGACTAGACACCTCATCCCCGGTCCAGCAGGCTATGTCGGCATACTTTCAGCCAGGAAGCTCAGGGTTCCGAGGCCGCCCGAGAACAACACTCCCGCGATCCATCAACAACGACCTGAAAAATTCCAGATCCACAAACTCCCTCACATCACACGAGGATCTAGTTGCACTGAGGCAGCTCGCCCAGGATCGTCGAAAGTGGAAGGATCTAATGTGTGCTGTGTGTAATGGCTGAAGTTATACAATTACACTAGATACCCTTAACAATAATAACGGATACAATTACACTAGATACCCTTAACAATAATAACGGATACAATTACACTAGATACTCTAGATACTAGAGACTCGGTACTCTAGATACTAGATACTCTAACAATTTTATCAAACATTATGATAATTACCACATCAAATGCTGCGGAGACCTATCCAGAATCGGCAATATGCTGGCCCTGGCCTGGAGATCTGCAACTATAATCAGCTTCTACTTTGCAACACTAACGGATTAGTCCCCTTTGTCGATTGATGGATCAATCGGTAGATTCGGCTCTGTTTTTCTTCCCTTTCTTTCTTGTTTTGAATTGTACGTTGAACTCATTGGATTTCTTTGTATTCTGTATCTCGTTATCGTTATATTTCCCTCTAGCCCTCTCGCTTAGGATGAGCTTTCTTTTTTATGGCAGCTTAAGCGAAGGCTATATACCTGCTTTATGCAGGTTGATGCCAACGCGAACAAGCAAAATAATAATAATAATAATAGTCAGTCCCTGTTCTCCGTTGACTGCTGCTATACTGGTGTCCAGGTTGGTTTTGTTTACACACACGTTGCTCATGGTCGTAGTCACACTGCACCTACTCCAGGTCGAGATCGATCAAGGTTTACACTGTAGAACACACAAGGTCTGTAGTGAATACGGACATCTCAACCATCACACACCATACCGAAAAGTAGGTAAATACATCATGTAGTCTCCCCGTCTCTAACATTCACTGGGTTATCTACACAACTTGGATCTGGACAACGGACTATGATAATATGTACATGTAGTTCAGTACTACCCTCGCTCAACACTGATTCATTCATTGACTGATTTCGCTTCTCTTTCGATTTGCTCTCTCCTCCGTACTCTTTTCACTACACGTACAGCACTGTACTGTTAGATAGGAATACATACATTATTATGACATGCACATGTACTTGACTTTTTACACCAGCCTCACCTTCTATCCTCTTTTACATGCACTACTAATACTATACTATGCGCTGTATTCATGTATTGTTCCCACTCACTTTCGAGGTTGACCTGATAGCACACTGGAGACCTTTTGATGCATTTCACTTTCAGCCACCCTTTTAGTTATCTACACTAACAGCTGTACATACATGTACATTGTACATCCTAATGCCCCTTTCAACAGTTGTCCTCCTGGTATTATTGCACGCCTACATGTACATGTATACGATGTATGGTACACCCTTCTATTCAGTTCTTCCTCTACAACGTATTCCTCTTGCACAGGTGCCATGTCCCGACCTTTCCCATTCTTCTGCCCACACAATCATGTACCTTGTAGTTTGACCTTTCTTCTTACTTCTCTCTGCTCTACGTATCCCCTGACCATAGGCTAGCTTACTTACTCACCCTATAAAAGCTGCTGCCTTTCTAGTTTCCTACGGATTAGTTTCATGCTAGACTACAGTGTATTACCTGAGAACTCTTTCTCTCTCTCTCTGAATAAGTGTGCAATTCCGTATGATAACCATTACCCATTACTGTACCCTCGTGCTCTGCTGACTGAGCGAAACCGGGACTTAACAGTACACATACCTGATGCATGCTGTTTGAGGCCGGGACCGTTCATAATAATACATGTGCATGGTGACGTGTGATACAGGATCTGTTGACCTGCATTATACAGATATTCACGGTAGAAATAGCTCCTCTTATTGAGTTGAGCACTTTCGTCGAAATCTGCAACCATGGATGAACCGTCACGTATGAACCTGGGATACTCATTGAAGAACATTCCGTTGCCATCGCCAAAGGAGTACAAGAAGAAGCTTATCGAGAAAGTCGAGGACGTTATCCTCCGCATGAGGTGGAAGGCCATCTTCTTCCTGAATGGCCAGGACAGCCAAGAAAAGAACACATACGGATTCAGAACGAAGAACTGCCCCCAGAAGGTCGCGGAGTTGAAGGCTTTCGAAGAGGATATGTACACCATGATCGAGACTGTGAGCTTCCGCAATGCCGACAACGACCTCCAGCAGCGCATGAAGGATGACCTACGGTCGGTAAGGACTTCGAGTGACATTATTGTTCCTGCTGATTAAACGAGAAACCTGTACCGCATGTCTGCCAACAAGTACATGTATAACGCATTGCTCACCGAAAATGTCACAAAAACGTATAAACATGCAACTAATAGCGCCGACAACGAAATCAATAGTGAAGCCAAAGTCATCGCTGAGCGGTTGGAGATTGATGACCGAGTAAACGTCTTGGCGAAGTCGGAAGCATTCATCACATTAAAAGATCACAAAGAAAACTTTGAAAAGAAACTCCCATGCCGCCTCATCAACCCCGCCAAACCCCAGCTAGGCGTTGCGAGCAAGGAAATTTTGGAGTCCGTCACTGAGCCTCTGCGGAGCCACGTCAATCTATGGAAGAACACGCACGCCGTCATTGATTGGTTTAATGGCATCCAGAACCCAAGGGAGTGTTCGTTCGTCGTGTTCGACATAGTCGAATTCTACCCGTCCATCTCCGAGGAACTGCTGAAAAGTGCCCTGGAGCATGCAAGTAGTAATGCTCTCACCCGAAAGAGCAACGTCGATATCATGATGCACGCCAGAAAATCACTGCTTTTCGCGGGTGTTCGAGCATGGATGAAAAAGGACAAAGACGAGATTTTTGATGTTACCATGGGATCGCATGATGGGGCGGAAGCCTGCGAGTTGGTTGGCGCTTTCATCCTCAGTAAGCTAGTGCCGATCTTCGGGAAAGAAAACGTGGGTCTCTACAGGGATGATGGCTTGGCCATACTCCGAAAAGCTAATGGCCACCGCGCGGACCGGGTCCGTAAGGATGTTATTGAGGCATTCAGGAAACTCGGCCTGAGAATAACAATAGATACCAACATGAAAGCCGTGAACTTCCTCGACATTACCATGAACATCGCAACCGGCATCTACAAGCCCTACAGGAAGCCTAACGACACGCCACTATATGTCAACACAAAGTCCAACCACCCGCCTAGCGTGATCAAGAGCATACCTGTTGGCGTCAACAAGCGGCTCGTATCAATCTCATGCACCAAGGAGGTCTTAGAGCAAGCGCGGCCGCTTTTTGCCGATGCCCTACGCGCAAGCGGTCACGCAAGTGAACTGTCGTTCCCTGATGAAGACCAACCGGCACCGGCAGCGGGCAGTCGTCCCAAGAAGAGAAATCGTGACCGCAGGGTTATCTGGTTCAACCCGCCATATAGTGCGAGTGTGGCCACAGGCATCGGTGCACGGTTCCTGAGCCTCATCCAAAAGCATTTCCCTAAGGGCAGCAAGATGCACAAATTATTCAACAGGAACACTGTGAAGATCTCATATAGCTGCATGCCGAATATGGCCCGACTCATTAAGGCCCACAACAAGAGAGTGTTGCACCCACCAACACCGGACAAGGACTGCAACTGCAGGATCAAGAACTCGTGTCCACTCGAAGGAAAGTGCCAGGCGGACAACGTCATCTACCAGGCCATGGTGTCGGACGACACTCGTAACGCCAAGGTCTATACCGGCATGTCTGCGCCGCCTTTCAAAGCTCGCTACTCCTACCATTTGACTACGCTCAGGCATGACCGCTATGAGAATTCCACCGAGTTGTCAAAGCATGTTTGGTCGATGAAGCGGGACAACAGACACTACGTCATTGACTGGAAGATCCGCGACAGGGCCACCTCGTTCGATAACACGTGCATCTGCATGTGGCCTCTGCACTACCGAGAAGTATCACATCCTCGAAACCGACGCCCGCACTAGGCTAAACAAGGGAAATGAGATTGTGTCAAAATGCAGGCACGAAAGCATAGTATGTCCTATCAAATTTTGTGCCCATCACATAAGGACAGTGATCATTATTCCATGGCCTTGGTAGCGCCTCTATACCTGTTACCTGGCATGGCACCACTCTGCGCTATCACCTTTCCCTAGGCACTCTGTGCAATCAAGAGTACATAACCCCCCAGAGTGTGCAACGCCTGATCCAGCTCTGCATAGGGTCTTGGTCGAGCGGAATCGGATCTTCGCGTCATAATACCGTACACATCTGAGGGGAACCCGGGGAGTCGCGGGTACTCTTGGATCAAAAACAATGGTGCCCTGCCTCGAGACCGGCCTTGCGCTGGTGTGAAGTGTACGCATGACATCAGAAGATCCGATTCCGCTCGACCAAGACCCTACACAGAGCTGGATCGGCGTTGCACACTCTGGGGGGTTATGTACTCTTGGTGCAATGCATCATGAAAAATGGGCTGGTCACACCCCGCAATATCATCACCCTCATCTAGCACCTAGGCACTCTGTACAATGCATCATGAAAAATGGACTTGTCACATCCGGAACCCGACATAATGATAATTTTCACACTCCATAGTGACGGAGTTCACACCTTCTGAGTATATAACCAGTGTATCATACTTTGTTTGATCATCCATCTGATGATCCGTTGCTTGAACGGTGAAACACTGTGTAATGGAATTATTATTTGATCTCTGACGGTTTTTCCGCTTGTGTGTGATATTCACGGTATACATGTGCATGGTCACGTGTGATACAGGATCTGTTGACCTGCATTATACAGATATTCACGGTATACATGTGCATGGTCACGTGTGATACAGGATCTTGTTAGATAATCACGACCGCCCCAACTCACTCCCGGACACGCACTCACAACAACGTCCACAACGAGTTCTTTGGCGAACAGTGTTCATATAATTATTGGAGAAGAAGCAGAGAATGTGGGAGAGCGAAAAGCACAAGTTTGTTCCACGGCCAACTCTAAAAACTAACTGGAACTGATGTAGTTCTTCGTTGTACGCACTGTACGCATGAGAGCACGCCAGTTGCATGCCAGCGCGCAAGCGAGCAATGAACATGAAACGGACACCAGAAGTAAAAGGATCGGGCGGTGACACAAAGTCAAAGGGAATGTATTACATGTCGGGAGACCATCAATGAGCCACGGTAGCCGGCGGGTGCAACAAGGAATGTAAGATAGAAGTTAGAGCAACGAATACCATGCATACTCTCACATCACCCCTTAGTGACTCATGTCACTACCGAATAGCTACAACATAATCATCAATATCGAGCAGGTCGCACGAGCGTAGACCGGTCGCGCAATGATGGGCCTGCAGCAGGCGGCGGCGTGACCGGGTCAACGCTCAATACCAGAGACGGAACAGGGCCCGACTCGGCTTCATCGCTGGCACCCGGAGCGACGGGCGGCGGGGGCGGCAGATCGTCCTCGGCGGCACGCCTTAATAAGTCGACATTCACGATCTTGTCACGGCCGGTGCCGTCGACCCGATGAACCACCACCGTCGAGGGGCCCACGATCGACATAACTTGCCAACCAGGCTCGTACGGGGTTAGGCGCTTCTGGCAGCGCTGAGGCCGGCGAAGCATGACAGCATCGCCAACAGTCAAGCGGCTCGGTGTCGGCTCGTCGATGAAGTCGAAGCGGCCGAGCGCAGACTCGATGTAGTCTCGCATCGCCGCTGCCCGCTGCTGGAGGTCGTCTACCCATGAGCCAGCTGAATACGAGTGCTGAGGCCGATCCACGACCAAGCCACGGGGATGCCAACCAACCATGGCCTCCATCGGGGAGACGTTGGTGGCGCTGTGTGGCCGGATCCGATAGTAGTACAGGAGCATCGCCAGCTCCTGTTCCCAGTCGTGCGCCTCATCCAGAACCTTCCGCACGAGGGTCAACAGGGTTTGGTTGAACCTCTCAGCCACGCCTTGCGACTGGGGATGACGTGCCGCGCCGTAGCAGACATGAACGCCGAACGCCTCGTAGACGGAAGACATGACAGCGTTCTTGAACTCTGTGCCGTTGTCGGATCGAACCACGCGAGGAGGACCCCACCGAGAGCACACGTCGACGAAAGCTCTAGCCACACAGATGCCGTCATGACGCTTGAGGGGAACCACCTCGACCCACTTGGTGAATGCATCCACGCATACCAACACGCAGTGGTAACGCCCGGACCGGTTAACGCCGAGCTCGAGGGTATCGATGTGCACCACATCCCAGGGGCCGTTGGCTGATACCGGACGAGTGGGCCCGGTCGCCTCTCCGTGGCGTGGGTTGGCGGCTTGACAGCTGCTGCATCCGGACACAAACGCTTGGCAGCGCTGTCCCATGCCCAAGAAATGGCACTGGGATCGAAGCAACTGCCACGTCGCCTCCCAGCCACTATGGCCAGACACCTGGTGGGCTGCACGCACGGCCCGCTCCTCCAGCGCAGCAGGAAGCACAGGAACGCACTTGACGTCGTTCGGCGGAAGCTTGACGCTGCGCTGTAAGACGCCGTCTTGAACTTGCAGCTGACCGCGGATGTTCCGGAAGCCGCTGTCAGGCGGGAGGTCGTCCCCAGCGATCACTGCGGCCTTCACTGCCTGGAGTGCACCATCGTCCTCCTGCCCGGCCAGGATCTCGGCCATCGACAGACTCGGCATGATGGCGAGGCTGGCAGCAACATCCGTCACGCTGTTATCCGATGTGCAGGCCAGCCAGGACGTCGGAACGCGCGTGAGCTGGTCGGAGAGGTTCTGTTCTGACGGAACCCAGTCCACCTCCACGTCAAGGCGAGCTGTTGCGACGATGTCGTCAATGATCTGCAACCGACGCTTGACGAGCAGCTCGTGGAGCCCGCCAACCTTCACGCGGCGCTCGTTCCCGAGGATCTGACGAAGCCAGCCATGCACGGTCTTGGAATCCGTGTGGAGGCGGATCTTCCGCGCAGGCCAATTGGCAGCCGCGTTGAGGCCCTTGATGACGGCGTCCAACTCAGCGATGTTGATATGCCGTTTGTCGTCAGCCGGGCGCAGCCAGCTGCGGTCCTCGATGACCTCGCCGTTGACTTGCACCACGACACCCAGCGCGATTCCCGACGCATCGCACCACACGTGCCACTCCGTTGCGTCGTCATGCTGCACCGACCATACGCCATGCACCGGATCGTGCTCGTTGACTTGGGTCTGGATGTCGCGGCAGAGCTGCAGCAGACGAGGTGGCACGGCGATATCCCAGCCGACGGATTCGCCGATCATCCGCTTCAGCCAATTCGTCGTTGGTCGCAGCCACGCACAGACGGGGTAATGGCTGACGAGCTTGCCACACCAGCTGAACACGGCGCGCTTGGTGGGCGCCTCAGGTAGCTGCAGGCAGACGTCACGGCGACGTTGCCAGTTGATCGTGCCGTCTTGAGTCGAGAGCTGGAGGCCCAGCACCCGAGCAGTAGGGAGCTTCTCGGCAGGCTTGCACTTCAGGCCGTAGCGCTCGAGCTGCTGGGTCGTGGCCACCACTTGGGAGTCCGGCACACGCAAGTCGTCGACATAGTTGTCCACGCCGTCGAGGTCTTTGGTCACCCACTTCACGACCATGTCAAGGATCTTCGGCGCGACGTTGAGGCCGAACCCCATGCGCGTCATGGCAAACAACTCTCCTTGCCACACGATCGCTTGATAGCGGTACAGACGGGGAGCCATCCGGATCTGGAGGTACGCCTTGCTCAGATCAAGGAGGGCACAATCACCGTCCCCGAGTCGCCACTCGCGCAGCTTCTGGCCGCAAGCCGGCGCATCCAGGCCTGGGTGCGACACGAGACACTCATTCAGAGCGCGGTAGTCCAAACACGGCCGCACGGGAGTTGACGCCTTGTGAGCCTGGTCGACAGCCATCAGTGGAAGAACACAGGCCGGTTCACCGAACGCTTCACGGTCGTACGGGACCAGCCAGCCGTTCTCGCGCCACATCTGGACCTCCTTGACGAACTGCTGCTCTTGCTCTGGGTTGAGTTTCTTGCGCGGATATTCTCCAACACCAGAACCAAGAGGAAGAGACGGCTCCGTGTCGGCTTTCCATCGCCAGGTGGCTTCCCAGAAGCCTAGGTCGTCGCGCCAGGTTGCCTCAATGTCGTCCATCCGCAGCGTGACCTGACCATCGCCGTCGCTGACCGAGATATGCCGTGACAGCTTCTCCGTGGCAGCCGCCACGCCGGCCGAGGCGACGTCACGTGCGGGGCCGAATACAACAGACGATAACTGGCCTCCCGGCTGATCATGGGAGATGCTGACACCACCAACTTGGGACACGATGTCCGATCCGATCACGATATCGGTGTTGAGGGCGTCGAGGTTCGGCACGACGAGCAACGAAACCTTGATCGTCGGTAGGTAGACCGAGCCATCCTCGCGCTTCAGCGTCATGTCCACGCTGCCGGTGACGTCCAAGGGTGTGCCGTCCACCGTGATCAGCCGGTCGCTGGTCTCCTTCAGGCTGGACTGCATACCCAGCTGCTGGACAACTGGCCACTCGATCAGGGACCGAGTGCAACCCGTGTCGACAACCGACGCTTGGCGGCTCCAATGAGCGTTTTCGACCTGCACCTCCACTGCAACTCGAATCAGCTGCGACGAAGGCCGGGGCATAGCCAGGCAGAAATTCGTACGCGGGTGCGACGCTGCCGGGGCTGGTGCTGTGGCGGCCACACGTCCAGAATCTGACCTCTGAGGACAGTCTTTCCTCAGGTGGCCCACCTGATGACAGCGATAGCACGTGGGTCCACTCCTCTTGGCTGGAGCATCCGTGGTCGTCCTTGGCCAAGTCGACTGCGGGGGCCCACCACCGCCACCTCGCTGTCCACCGCCACCGCGCTGTCCACCGCCACCGCGCTGTCCACCGCCACGACGCTGCTGATTCGGGCAGCTACGGCGCATGTGACCCACTTGGCCACAGCCATAGCACATCAGCGACTGACTCTGGGGCGGGGGACCAGATCGGGCTGCAGCCACCGCCTGAGCGACCCCTGCCGCTGACTGCATCGTCCTCACCTGTCCAGTCAGCTCCGCGACGGTAAGGCTCTTCATGGCGTTGGCCAGCCGGACGGTTTTCCCATACTCGTGTGGTAGACCGCTGATCAACTGCTCCACGAGCAACGGGTCTTTCCCATCCGCAGCAACCTTGTGGCCTGACAATGTCAGCAGGCGCGTCAGGTCTGCTACGTAGGCGTCGACAGGCTCATCCAGGGCCAGCTGCCGCCCTACGAATAGATGGTAGGACTCCGCCGGGCTGGGCGCGAACGCAGCCTCCAAAGCAGCCTTCACCGCCGCGGTCTTCTTCCGATCCTCTGCGGACAACTGGTCAAACACCAGGAACGCCGGACCATCCAGCAACAATGGCAGATGCGCCATCTGTTTTTCCTCCGAGTCCCATTTGTGCAGTTCTCCAAGGACCAGGAACTTAGACCAAAACGCAGCAAGGTTATCACCTTTTCCACGAAACGGCCGAACAAAACTATCAAACTTCAACGTCGACATCGTATTGCACACTGCTACTCCACCAAACCGGGTTTCGGCACCAAGCTGTTAGATAATCACGACCGCCCCAACTCACTCCCGGACACGCACTCACAACAACGTCCACAACGAGTTCTTTGGCGAACAGTGTTCATATAATTATTGGAGAAGAAGCAGAGAATGTGGGAGAGCGAAAAGCACAAGTTTGTTCCACGGCCAACTCTAAAAACTAACTGGAACTGATGTAGTTCTTCGTTGTACGCACTGTACGCATGAGAGCACGCCAGTTGCATGCCAGCGCGCAAGCGAGCAATGAACATGAAACGGACACCAGAAGTAAAAGGATCGGGCGGTGACACAAAGTCAAAGGGAATGTATTACATGTCGGGAGACCATCAATGAGCCACGGTAGCCGGCGGGTGCAACAAGGAATGTAAGATAGAAGTTAGAGCAACGAATACCATGCATACTCTCACAATCTGTTGACCTACATTATACAGATATTCACGGTATACATGTACATGTGCTTGGTCACGTGTGATACAGGATCTATTGACCTGCATTATACAGATATTCACGGTATACAGTAATGTGCATGTACATGTAGGTCGGCAAAGACTGTACTAGCTGTAGCCCCCATTGTAAGAGTTACTTTGTGTAGTTTCTGCCAAGTACTAAAAATGCCGCGAAAATTTCACGCTTTACAGTAATGTCCTGTTCATTCAGTCTTGCTCTATTTCTTCTTATGTGTTCTGTCACCTCTTGTCTATTTCTTTCTTTCTTCTTATGTGTCCTGTCACCTCTTGTCTATTTCTCTCTTTCTTCTTCACATATTACATTATTAGGCTTCACAGTGCTGGAGAAACCAGTTTGAAGTGGAAACTCAAGATTTCTTCGCTCCTGTACACTCCTCTGTGTTTTGATATCCACCAGGTACACACTGCAACTAGTTTCTCCATCGATATGCTGGTTGTCTGGGAGACACTGATCGGCTATAGGGCTTGAAAGTGCTACGTCACTCCATAGCAATGGCATAGCAACAATTTGAAAAATTCGAAAACTGGATCCACCTGGATCCAGTTTTTGTATGGATCCAAGCACATTTCAAGCGGTCTCACTCACAGCAAGGTGATGTTGCCAGTGAAACTGACTGATTTGGCTAGTGGGGGCGGGGTGACAACTGGTGGCGAAGTAAAAGTTGCACCTGCATACGACATGAGTGGGTTGCTATGCACCCACATACTGAGGCAATAGCAAAGTCACACCTCAGTGGATCCAAAATAGAAATCTGATGTCAATTTACTACTCCCAGGCCGTTTTTGACGTCATCACTTTCAAGCCCTATTAGCCCTTTCCCAAAGGTGCTCTTTGAATCACAAAGATAAGTGGTCCTTGATGAAGAATTCCATTCTCTGCTGCATTCATCATACCGTCCAGTGACCAGTGGAGTGATATACTGTATGGCTGAGACACAGGTGATTCCCGTATGTCACATGACTGTCGCCTTGGAGTCGACCAATGACAGATCAAATTACGCGGGCTGGAAAGCGCGATCCTGCCTGCGCAGCTGGTGATGGAACTAGTTCCACTGCCCGTCGTCAAGTGACGGCGGGCAGTGGACGGAATCCACTCATGAGTCTACCATTTCAATGACAAGCTTCTGTGGTCTGAAAGTACATGCAAAAGTCATGTACTGAGTCTGTAGTCCGTGTACGGTTGTCGAAGTCCCTCTCACTCAGCTCACACCTGTCCTGTCCTGTCCTGTCACAGAGTCACAGCCTCATACATAGGACTCGAGTCACAGAATGGTTCATGTAAACTCAAACGTCAAAGATTGTGAGTCAGAGTGATCTCCTTGCCCTTGGCTTGGGTGCATACGGGAAACACGTTCCAGTCACTCATACTCGGTCAGTACCGCTGCTATGCTCATCCAGCCCTTGCCGCTATCGCGGCGCGGGCTGGATTCCGCGGTACTGCCCTCATAGTACTCGTGCAGGAACCTGTACTTGTCCGTGATATCCGATTTCAAAAGTATATTACATGGCATAATGAGAAAGCAGCAGTGCAGCAGAAGCAGCAGCAGAAGCAGCTCTCCGTGTATTGTACATGACTATGCAGTGATGTATCACAAGCACACAAGGAACACACTTGACTCGTGTACGGTGTAGCCAGTGAGGGAGACCTGCAAAAATACATGACACTAAGTACTGCATACAGCACAGATATCACACTACAACCCTCCCGCACATACAATCATTGTACTCATACAGTAGAATACCTACTAGTACGTATGTATTACTGCACAAGGACCAGTGCAATACCGGCCGATATCTGCACGAGCGGCGAAGCCGTAAGTGCAGATATCGCACCCCACGTGAGTGTTTCCATGGTTTGAGCCAATCAGCGGCCTTACTGAGCGTGCAATATTCCCCAGTACACCGCCAGCCAATGTGGATGCACTGCAGTGCGATATTGCACCCCGGCGAGTGAGCGTGCAAATAACCTATATTTGCACGCTCACTTCGAAGTGAGCGTGCAAATATAGGTTATTTGCACGCTCACTTCGAAGCGAGCGTGCAAATATAGGTTATTTGCACGCTCGCTTCGAAGTGAGCGTGCAAATATAGGTTATTTGCACGCTCACTTCCAAGTGAGCGTGCACTTCGAAGTGAGCGTGCAGATAGGTTATTTGCACGCTCACTCGCCGGGGTGCAATATCGCACTGCAGTGCATCCACATTGTCCTCTGGTCATTGGCTGGCGGTGTACTGGGGAATATTGCGAGTCGCTCCGCCAAGCAGTCGCTGCTGACTTGCTGCAGCACACCAAATAATAATTGGTCGAGGACGCTGTCGCGGAAGCGAATGTGGACCCGGCTTGCGTCCGCCAAGTCAACTTCACAAGCTCCGTGAGAGTCGAGACAGCAGACGCCCAAGTATTGGAGAAGACTGTCGACAGCCGATTTGAGAAACTGTCCGACGCCGCCATCGACAGCCTCGTTTCTGAGCAGAAAAACAAAAACACAGAGCAGGCAACTGACAAATGGCTCCGCTTATTCGACGAGTACTGTAAAGACACAGGACGTCGCTGTGACCTGAGTACGGTTACGGCAAGCGACCTAGCTTACATTCTGCGACATGCATACGTCGAATTCCGTCCGAAGAAAGCTGGAGTGAAGTTCTACTCTGCATCAAGCTTGCTCGGTTTCCGTTCCGCAATACATCGCAAGCTAGTCGAGTTGAAGCGGCTCATGAACGTCCACAGTGACCCAGCGTTCAAGGACGCAAACATTGCATTGAAGGCTTTCCTCCTGAAGTCAAAGAGAGCGGGGAGAAGTCAAAGCGGTGGAGCACAAACACCCCATCAACGACGACGACATGAGCAAGCTGTCCCGCTACTTCCATGATCTCCCGGGAGTGTATACAGCAGCTGCTCGAAAGAAGTGTTCCTCTAAAAATGAACGCGACTGGTTGTGCTGTGTTGTATGACTGTGAAATGATAGCAGGGTTGCATGCAGTAGGGTTGCACCAGACCGTGTCAAGTCACACACACAAGTGTGTGGTGACAGACTGTGTGGTGGCAGGGGTGCGATAAATGTATTACTGCACTCGGACGCGTGCAATACCGGCGTCGATATTTGCTAGTACTAGCAGTAGTTCCACTAGTACCAGTATAGTACGGGGGCCAGGGTTGAGAAATGTGAAGTTTCGTTTCCACTGAGAGCGCACAACAAAAGATGTACTTTATCTTGTAGCCCTAGTCGTGTAGAGTCGCCTGATATATTTTTCACCACTGGAATCGGGATGGAACGGTGTGGAATTGGCATTTGAAAGTTTCCCATGGGTTGCCATAGCAACCGCATAGCAACAGTATGGCAACAGCGTGTTTTTCATGTTATTTTCTTCCATAGATGCCCCAAATTTGTTGAGAGGTACATACTATGTATGTACTCGTGTCAACTGGCACTACTACTAGTAAAACATACATGTACATGGAGTATCATGCACATCGTGCACTCTATTGTATCAATGTGAATCATTGGTCATAATTATAGAGACATGTACATGTACTACAGCATTGTGTACATTATAATATACATGTACATGTATCATATCAGAATACAGTGTACTGGCATGAAGGAAGCAGCTGACTATTTCACCACACGCAGAGATAAAGCATACTTTATTCCACAGGGTACTTGTACATGTACAATCATGCCTTCCAGCACAGGAAGTCGGTCATAAGTACTGTATGTACAAAACATGTACATGCACATTGGTTACGATTCCAGCAGTCATGCGCATAAAAGTAGACAGAAGGCCAGTTTCGATGGCTCACAAGAACATGACATAATTATATATTTCATCGATAATAATGTGTACAAGAGCATGGACATTACAGATGCTGTCATCAAGTTTGACTTCAAGTCGACTCTGGAGAACCACAGAGCGGTTTGCAGGCATTGCAAACACAGGCTGAGTCGCCGGGACCATTGTCAATGAGCGCTTTCGCTTCGACGTTGACAGTGTAGGCAGAGAGATGGAAGTCGCTTCACTTGCTACCGATTCATCCTGCATAGAAGGCTGTACAATGATACCATTTGTACAGTGCGTAGTCGCAAGTCCGCTCAGTGTCTCCTCGCAAAGGTCATTGTTATCTCACACGAAATGGTACGGCTTGCGAGTGTCGATGGCGGCAGGCAAGAAAGACTGATTGTGCTGATGGCGTGTAAAAGACTCTGCCAAGCAAGTCTCCAGCTCCAGTACCTGGCTGTAGCTACAGCAATAGCCAAGACGATTCAACATGGTAACTATCTGCTTACTGCGACACAGGTGATGGATTGCCATGCCCAGCACAATGTGTTTCGAAGTTCGGTAACCAGTGCCGCAAAACATAAGATCCTGGCAGATGGCATGAATACGGCGTTGCAAAACACTCTCAAGAGACGGCAAGCGGCACGTCGAGAATTCGGCATCCTTGTCCAGGGTACATGCAAGAAAATTAAAGAGCTTGTCAGGAATC